CTGAGAAACATTGAGTTAGAATCTTGATTTGGCTTGATTCTTGGAGGGGCATCCATACAATCATATGGAACAGAGATGGGGGAAACTATGGCTCTTTTATGACTGGTGGACTTCAACTCCCAGAATTCCTGAGCCAGCCATGCTGAGGGGAAAGGGAGAGGTTTCCATGCTGAGCCATGCTGGCTCAGGAATTCTGGGAGTTGAAGTCTACAAGTCATAAAAGAGCCAAGGTTACCTACCCCTGGCCTAGAGGGAGCTGGGTTGTGTGGTTAGCATAAACCTAGACCAGGGGTAGGCAAACTTGGCTCTTTTATGACTGGTGGACTTCAACTCCCAGAATTCCTGAGCCAGCCATGCTGAGGGGAAAGGGAGAGGTTTCCATGCTGAGGCATGCTGGCTAGGGAATTCTGGGAATTGAAGTCCGTGAGTCATAAAGGGGCCATAGTTCCCCACCCCTGATATAGAAGATATATTTCCTGCCTGAGCAGGGGTTTGGACTAGAAGACCTCCAAGGTCCCTTCCAACGGATTGTTATTATTGATTGTCACGCAGTCAGCCAGATGTTCAGACTGGATTTGGCATTTTTGTCTATCTATCGAGTCCTTACCCAGGACCTGGGATAGGCAGATGTGGATGTTTGATGGTATTACAGATATCGTTGCAGGATGGAAGCAGTTCCTAGTAAGGCCGCCTTTTGCAATTGACTAATGGCAAATTTGTCAATGCCAATGGTGTTCAAGTGGTGCTCCAGTTGTTTTGGGATTATTATTATTATTGTTGTTGTTGTTGTTGTTGTTATTAACTATACCTGTACTTTTCAGTGTTTTTAACAATCCAATTTGGAGCCATGTTTCATTTCTGGTCATTCAGAGGCACATCCCTGCCATTTTTTAGCAGCAGTATGCAAATGTTTTTGCATGGGTTTCCCGCAGAGTGTTTTTTTCTTTTTCTTCTCTTTCACTTCCCAGTTTAGCCCACAGCTCTGAGATTATCTAGAACTCTCTCATTTAAGCATTAGCCAAGCTTGACCTGCACTTTTCAAGAGGTATCTAATTAGTCACTGTCAGAAAAAAAAGAGATGCTGGGTAGCATTATTTTGATCATATTTCTTTATAAATTAACCTAATTTACACTTCCAGGAGTTACATGAAAATGAGAGCCTGGCTTATATTTAATTTTGGCAATATATTCTGAGCTAAAAATGTTTATTTTTAGGATCAGGTTTGTGTGTGTGTGTGTGTGTGTGTGTGTGTGTGCCTGTGTCTGCGCGTGGGTGTGTATTACTTGTATCAGAGATAACGTACCTTTTGGAATGATGTGCGGCTCTTACTGCATATTTTAAGAAAAGAATATCTGCAAACGTCTGCAGCTTTCAGGTGAAATTCCTACAAGGTTAAGTGTTTTAGATAAAGATGTATGAAAATGCATAAAGGAGAGAAGAATAAAAATGTTAAGGCATCAGATTTTAAAACCGACATGAAGCCGCCGGGGTGAAATCTTCCGTTGCCATGGGGTGCAATATCATCAATACATTGATGATGCCCAATTATATCTTTCTGCCCCTGGCAAATTAAGCAATGCTGTGAATGTCTTATCCCAGTTGGAGATGGTGGAGGCCTGGGTGGAGGCAAACAGGCTTCACCTGAACGTTGGCAAGGCTGAGGGGCTTTTATTCTTGGGGGTCTTCTTCCAGTTCTGGGACCATGCCAGACAGAACCATTACACAGCTCCGGGGTCCTCCTTGACTTATGATTCCCGCTCAAAGGGCAGATGACAGTTGTGGCTAGGCAGAATGGGACAACTAACTCGCCACAACCGCCATGGCCAACCTGCCATGGGACAACTCGCCATGACAAACTCGCCCTAGGGCAGTGTTTCTCAACCTTGACAATTTTAAGGCATGTGGACTTCAACTCCCAGAATTCCACAGCCAGCGTTGCTGGCTGTGGAATTCTGGGAGTTGAAGTCCACATGCCTGAAAATTGTCAAGGTTGAGAAACACTGCCCTAGGGCAACTCACTGTGGGACAATTCAACCATTCGATTTAATTATTTAAAATATTTTTTAAAAAACAGCCAGCGTTGCTGGCTGTGGAATTCTGGGAGTTGAAGTCCACATGCCTGAAAATTGTCAAGGTTGAGAAACACTGCCCTAGGGCAACTCACTGTGGGACAATTCAACCATTCGATTTAATTATTTAAAATATTTTTTAAAAAATATTTTAATTTTTGTCATTCACGTTTCATTTTGTCCCTCATGATTGTATTCCTCTGTTTCTTTGATGTTAGTGTAACTCTTCTCCCACAGCAAGTTGTCCCGTGGTGCGTTGGCCACACAGCGAGTTGACTGCAGTGAGTTAATAATAATAATAATAATAATAATAATAATAATAATAATAATAATAATAATAGTAATAATAATAATAATAATAATAATAAAGTTGGAAGGGACCTTGGAGGTCATCTAGTCCAACCCCTTGCTCAGGCAGGAAACCCTATACCATTTCAGACAAATGGCTGACCAGTCTCTTCTTAAAAACTTCCAGGATTGGAGGCAGGTTGTTCCACTGGTTAATTGTTCTCACTGTCAGGAAGTTTCTCCTTAGTTCCAGGTTGCTTCTCCTTTAGTTTCCATCCATTGCTTCTTGTCCTGCCTTCAAGCGCTTTGGAGAATAGCTTGACTATAGTTGACCATGGCATGGCAAGTTGTCAAAGACCTGTGACTAGGAGGGCCTTTGACCTGCTTCATGTACGGCCCAGTTGTCCCCCTTCTTGCACCAGGAGGCTCTGCTCGTGGTCCTTCATGGCCTGGTCACCTCCCGGATAGACTATTGCAATGTGATCTACCTGGGGCTGCCCTTGAAAACTATCTGGAAGCTTCAGCTGGTGCAAATGTGGAGGTGCAGACAGTTTTGTGTGCCCCTAAAATGGCACATATGACATCTTTGCTCTGCTCTGTTCTGCTCTGCTCTGCTCTGCTTTGCTTTGCTTCTAGGTGCAATTCAAGTTCTGATTTTGCCTTTAAAGCTCTTCACGGCATGGAAATGCTTTACTTAAAAGTTCGTCTCCATCCAATTATATTATATCTACGTGGAAAAAACCAGCAAAAAAGTACCAAATCATGATCACATGATCTTGGGACATTGCAACCAGTCATAAATGCAAACCAGTTGCTAAGCACCCAAAATGCAGTCATGTGACCAAGGGGGGTGGTGAGATGTGTGTAGCAGTCGTAAGTTTGAGAACAAGTCATAAGTAAATTTGGGGGAGGGGAAATCTGTCATAACTTCGAACAGTCATTACGGGATTGGTTGTTAAGCAAGGACTATCTGTCCTTGGTAGTACTGTAATATTAGGTGTTATATAATTACACAAAGTTATAATCAACACAAAGTCGCCAAATTTGAAGAATACTGATTTATATTCTTTATATTAAGAATAGAAAGATAACTCGCATGGTTTTGTGCAGACCTCGGTGTGCACGTGTATCACCTCTTTTACGGGAGCTGCATCAGTTGCCGATTTGCTTCCAGGTGCAATTCAAGCTGCTAGTTGTCACCTTTAAAGCCCTTCGTGGCTTCGGACCAGGTTATCTGAGGGACCATGTCTTGCTAATCACATCCACCCAACCCACTAGGGCAAGGAGGCAAGGAATGTTGTGGGTCCTGTTGAAGGAAAGGTCTTCTTCATGGTTCAATCCAAGCCGGGAATAAACAACATGGCGACTGCTTTAGAAAGAAGGTTGCAGTTTATTGAAGGGGAGAGCCAGATAGGAAGATGGCTCTGGAAGAAAAGAGAGAGAGCACATGTAGGGAATGGGTTTTTATACTCTCTGGGGCTTTTGTCTGGAGATGTTTCCTGTTCCTGTTTGAGGCTTTGTATTTCCTGTGTCATGTACTTTGACCTGAATCTGAGTGTGCCCTTTAGCATCTGTGGATTAATCCTATTATGTCCTGTCTTAGAGTTTGGGTGGGGTATGTAGATTTTAGGTGTTTTTGTCTTCTTAATCTTCTAGCTGGGGGCCTCCAACCTTCCTGGATTATTTACATCCGCATTTCTACAGAGCTGGTTTCTGCTTGGGGGAGGGAGACTTGGGACTATTAAGAAAACTGGGCATGGTTTTCTGCCTCTTTAAGATCCTTTGAGAAAATATATTTTTCTGCCCTTTTAATATTTCCTTCTCTGGGGGGCTGACTTCCCACAGTCCTGTCCCCTAAGGAGGTATTTCTGGCTGGACCCAGAAGAAGGGCCTTCTCCATGGTGGCTCTCTCCCTTTGGATTATCATCCCTTCAGAAATTATATTGGTCCCCCAGTTTGACATTCTTTCGTAAGGCCCTGAAGACATGTTTTTGCCAGTGGGCCTGAGGAACCCACAGTGTGAGGGGGTCTGTCAAACGGGTTATTTGACTGTGTGTTTTCGCTGGGGATGTGTGTGGGGGGAGGTTGTTGTTGTTTTTTATCTTTATTCTTTTTTAAAAAAAATATTTTATTTTAATTTCTATACTGTGTTTTTATTGTTTGTAAACTGCCTAGAGTCGCTGTGAGTGAGTAGGTAGCTATATAAATTTTCTAAATAAATAAATTCTTTAACTTGTTCAGTAAAAGGGGCATTGTCCCTTCCTCCCTTCTCATCTCAACTAGGCTATATATTGCTGAAGAATTCAGTGGAATATTGATTAATTATAAAATTATATATATATATACGCGGGAGAAAACCCGAATAACCAAAGACCTACATACAAACACCCGCAAAAACCTCAGAAAACAAATATATATATCTTCAGGCTAGTGTTTTCAGCTTTGTGCTTCTAGGAGCAAAAACATATTTGTGTGTGTGTGTGTGTTTGTGTGTACACACACACACACACACACACACAACTACCCAAGTTTGCTTACTTTTACCTCAGGTGAAAAGCTTTTGCCATCTGGTGGGGGAGAGAGCAGTTCTTCACAACCCGACATTCATGCTGTCGTCTCATTTTGTGTCTTTGGCTGTGTAGGACTGCTAGTTCAAGGTGCAGATTTCAATCAGCCAGCTGACAATTACACAGTTTGCCAAGGGGACAACGCAACGCTAAGGTGAGTTCTGCCTGTAACACCAAAATCACGTGTGGTGGGTGTGAGCCTGAGATTTTCCCAGCTGGAGTTTTGCAGGAAGGTTTTCCTGTTGTGTCAGAGCATACCCAGTCTTATTGTGCTGAGATAACCCAGGAGTAAACACAGTAAACAGTGGTCTATATTAAATGGTGGTTTATCTTAGGAAGGATTCACTGGAGAAGAGCCTAATGCTGGGAAAGATGGAGGGCAATAGAAGAAGGGGACGACAGAGAATGAGGTGGCTGGATGGAGTCACTGAAGCAGTAGGCTTGGACTCCAGAAGATGGTAGAGGACAGGAAGGCCTGGAGGAATGTTGTCCATGGGGTCGCGATGGGTTGGACACGACTTTGCAACTAACAACAACAAATCTACAGTATCATACACCAGGAACAACATACATACACGTGTTCATACAGCAATCTCCAACACACAGCAGTTATAACAGGAAACAGAAGAGAGAGTACATAGCAGCAGAACCTTCCCTTTTATACAAAGCTCTTAAAGGGACACAGACCCAGCTGTCATCATTACATCATACATTATTACATCATTGCATCTTTACATCATACATTACATCAGCTGGTTAGCTTCTAAATCATTACCTTCACATGTTGGTTAATTAGTTTGGTTAATTAAGTTTGAAGCTTCTGAGTCTGTAAACCTTTCCATGTATGAACTGAACCAGTATTCTGAACTTACTTGACTTTGTCATCCTAGCCCTGATTCCCTGCACTGTTGAAAAACCACATCAGTGGGATGATGCTGATAAAACCAATATTATTACTAATGTTTGCAAGCCACTGAGCAAGGGAAGACGTTATTTTTATGCAAGATAAACAAACTGAAAGCCCAGGACTGTCATGTATCTTCTGTGACATGATACATACAGGTAGTCCTCGAGCAACATTGAGCCCTGTTGCTAAGCGAGACAGCTGCCCCACTTTACGACCTATGTGGCCACGGTTGTTAAGTGAATTGTTGAAATTAAGTGAGTAATATAGTTGTTAAGTGAATCTGACTTCCCCAGGGAGTTTGCTTATCAGAAGCTCACACGCATGGCCCCGGGACACTGCAACCGTCATAAATATGAGTCAGTTGCCAAGCATCTGAATTTTGATCACCTGACCTTGGGGATGCTGCAATGGTCGTAAATGTGAAAAATGGTCATGTCATATTTTTTTTTAGTGCCATTGTAACTTTGAACGGTCACTAAAGGAACTGTTGTAAGTTGTGGACTATCTTTATGAGCTTTCTCCTTAACCCCATTATCTTGTTCTTTTCTATGGGTTGGAAGGTCTGGACCCAGCATCTTTTTATGCCCCGGTTTCTGTTTTCTGATTTAGCCTTCCCCCCCCCCCACACCTCTTTTACTAAGGTTTCAGCGCAGCGCCTTGCCTTGGTTTAAATAAAAGATAGCTCTGTGGCTAAATGCATGATTACCTGCCTATAATGCATTAATAGCAGCCAGCAATGACTTACAAAATGGCTAATAACTCTGTCAAGTGCAACATAAATTTACCTGGCCTTGATTTTAATACTCTTCAGAATGAGACCATTTCCCATGTCTGGGGGAATACAATTCCCTCAGCCCCTATGAGCACCACTATTTTATGATGCTTAGTGGAGCTTTTAGCTTTACCCATTTAGTCTGCAACCCCCTTTCTGTAATTCTTCTGTCTTCTTTGTTTTCCCCCCAACAACATAGGGTGGTTTGTGCATACTGCCAAGCTGTGATGTGGCTGGTTTATAGTTTAATATGGTGAGAGAAAGTTTCGCTTAGAGCAGGGATAGGCAACCTTGGCTCTTTTATGACTCGTGGACTTCAACTCCCAGAATTCCTGAGCCAGCATGGTTCAGCATGGAAACCTCTCCCTTTCCCCTCAGCATGGCTGGCTCAGGAATTTTGGGAGTTGAAGTCCACGAGTCATAAAAGGGCCAAGGTTCCCCACCCCTGCCCTATATCAGGGGTCCTCAACCTTTGCAACTTTAAGACGTGTGGACTTCAACTCCCAGAATCCCTGAGCCAGCATGGCTCAACTTGGAAACCTCTCCCTTTCCCCTCAGCGTGGCTGGCTCAGGAATTCTGGGAGTTGGAGTCCACACGTCTTAAAGTTGCTGAGGTGGAGAAACAATGGACTAGTCCAGGGATAGGCAACCTTGGCTCTTTTATGACTCGTGGACTTCAACTCCCAGAATTCCTGAGCCAGCATGGTTCAGCATGGAAACCTCTCCTTTTCCCCTCAGCATGGCTGGCTCAGGAATTCTGGGAGTTGGAGTCCATGAGTCATAAAAGAGTCAAAGTTGCCTACCCCTGGCTTAGAGCAACTGGCTGAGGAATGCTGGGAGTTGAAGTCCGCACACCTTTAAAGTTCCCAGGGTTGGGAAACACACTGTCTTACAGCTAGGCATTATCGGAGAAGGATCCACAAAAAAGATCCTCACCTAGAGTAGGAGGATCTCTAGGGTGAATTCAACAGTGACTAGCAAGATGGCCAGTTTCTCCAGAAAGTGGATCTTCCTAGGTGTAAAGAAGTAGAGGCTAATGGTTCTGGATTGAAAGGGCTTTGAATGAGGATGTGGTGCCAATTCACAGCCTCTCCAGGGGAAAGGAAGGAAAAAGATACGACGAAATGACTTCTGAAACCTTTCACGGCAGTAATAAGTGCAATAATAGTTAACCCTCCTCTCCAAAGTTACATTAAGATTCTTCTTTTTTTCTGAAATCTATCCTGCCTATCCACCTAGCCATAAACTGGAAGTTCGTTTTTTTTTTAAATTTTGTGTAAAAAGTCCATAAGAGCATTCCAGTCACCAATAAATGTAGGTATTGGCTTTTCTCTAATCAAAGAAGTTAGCTTCTTCATCTCAGCAAGATCTGTTTATTTCACCAATCAATATCTCCATGGCCTGTGATGTCCTTTTCTCTTGTCTTTCTAATGGACCAGACACTTCATTATTTAAACCAGTGGTTCTCAACCTGTGGGTCGGGACCCCATTTGGGGTCGAACGACCATTTCACGGGGGTCGCCAAACAACGCAATCCGCCATTTTTTTCCCCCTTTTCCTTAGCTGTGCTACTCCCTTTTATTCTATTGGCTTTTGAAAGCCCATAGAATAGACTCTCTTGAATAGAGTCTAATTCTATTGGCTTTCAAAAGCCAATAGGAATTGTCCAGGCTGTCTCTGCCCTGCTGAGCCCACCAAAAGTCCCATTCTGCAAATGGTGCTGCACCAGTTGAGTAGTCCTCGACTTACGACCGGTTGAGTAGTTCTCAACTTACGACCGGTTGGAGGTCACGGCATTAAAAAGGTTGAGAACCACTGATTTAAACACAGAGAACCCGGCTTTCTCATTCTGTTGAGCCCTAAACAATGAATGCATTTGAACCTTGTTTTTCTTTCCCCGGTGACTCCTTCCTTCCTCCCTCCCTCCCTCCCTCCCTCCCTCCCTCCCTCCCTCCCTTCCTTCCTTCCTTCCTTCCTTCCTTCCTTCCTTCCTTCCTTCCTTCTCTCCCTCCCTCCCTCCCTCATCTGGGCATGATCCCTGTTGTTACCTACTACTCCTTGTGTGAGATGAGCTGATGGACAATAAGATGTCAGTCCTTATCAAAGCTCTTTGTTCTCTGTATTTGTATTAATGTTATGGAGATGCAAATAATCAGACCAATTCCCCCCTCCCTTTCTCTTTCTCTCTTGATCTTCCTCAGCTTTAAGATGGGTGGCTGTTAACTCCCAGAATTCCTCAGCCAGCTATGCTAGGAATGGGAGTCCACCCACCCTAATGTCACCAAGTTTGAGATACATGGTCTAAACACTCCACCTTATTTTATTTAAGCCAGGGGTTCTCTACCTTGGCAACTTTAAGACTTGTGGACTTCAACTCCCAGAATTCCTCAGCCAGCTATGCTAGGATTGGGAGTCCACCCACCCTAAAGTCACCAAGTTTGAGATACATAAACACTCCACCTTCTTTTATTTAAGCCAGGGGTTCTCAACCTTGGCAACTTTAAGACTTGTGGACTTCAACTCCCAGAATTCCTCAGCCAGCTATGCTAGGATTGGAAGTCCACCCACCCAAAAGTCACCAAGTTTGAGATACATGGTCTAAACACTCCACCTTCTTTTATTTAAGCCAGGGGTTCTCAACCTTGGCAACTTTAAGACTTGTGGACTTCAATTCCCAAAATTCCTCAGCCAGCAAAGCTGGCTGAGGAATTCTGGGAGTTGAAGTCCACAAGTCTTAAAGTTGCCAAGGTTGAGAACCCCTGATTTAAGCTATCAAAGGAGAATGATATCTTGATCTCAGCTGTGGGGTCTTACATGACTTCCAACACCACCAATTTTTAAGGGGGAAGGTTTTCTCGACTGTATTTTTTACACAGTATACTGTGTGGGACTTTATGGAGTGTCTCCAGATGTCTCTTCCACAAGACAGTGAGCCCACCTCCGCCCACACTAGAAGCTGTGAATCAGCAAGCCAAAAACATCCTGTCTTTGTCATTTTTTCATTGCCCGGCTTTTTCCTCTTCTCCTCCCCCTCCCTCCCACGCCGTCATCTCCTTGAGCAACCTGCACTGTACTGGATTCCCCAGCCTGAATCTGTGGAGACTTTGACCTACTTCCCAAGACTTCTCTGCCCTACGTTTTTTTTTGCAGAATAAAAGGAGGAGGAGATGAAGTCTTGAGTTGGTAGGAATGGAAAAAGGGGAAAGTGCTGCACCAGGAGCTTTCAATATTCCAGGGCTTTTCAACCTTTTGACCCATTGTACCACTTTTAGGATATGGCAATATCCGAGTACCACCAGTTGCCTAGCAAGGTGTTAAAAATGTGATGACCAAAAAAAAAAAAAAGGAAAAAAGTGATGAAGTACAAGTGGTCCTCGACTTACAACAGTTTGCTTAGTGACTGTTTGAAGTTACAATGGCACTGAAAAAAGTACCCCCCCCCCAATCCACAGCCGAGCAAGACACCTGCCTGCCC